ATTAATAACATATGGGGATGAAAAGTAATTGGCTCTAAGTAACATTGTTTCATTTTTCTAGATGATTGTAATATCTAATAAAATATATACAATTAGATTCGATATTACATTAAAAACAAATAAAATGTATATATTATTATATATTCACATATAGACACAAAAATCTCAAGTATTTTGAAAAGGAGTTAAATTTTAACTCCGTAATAACAGCGCTATGGCATACAATGTTCAATTAATGCATCTATATCATAATAATAGTAACACAACTTAATTAAAATTTATAATATATCAACTATCGCGCACGCGCGCATTTATACATTAACAATCAATAATCGGACAATATTTTAAAATTCGTCCACCAGAATCTAAAAATTCAAAAGATTTTTCCTATACATATTAGATAGAGTTCATTGATCCCTATTAATTACCATATTTTTGTTAATTATGTTGTTAATTATGTGAATATATCCTGATTATAATCACCTTCGTAACAATTGAACCAACAATCTGATATCCCAAATGCAAACTTTAATCTTTCAATTATGCATATATCTTCTAACCGCATATTTATATATCTTCATTAACAATTTAACAATCTAAATATTGCAGGATACAAATTTCAACGATTTTTATGAAATTAAAATTTGAGCGTTTTATTTATTATTACGAAAAATTAGATATGTATTTTCACTAAATATATATTTTTTAATAATTCTATGTGTTTCATCACATCTGTACACAAAGTAAGAAAATAATTATTAGTGCAATCGTAAAGAACGTGATTCTAACAAAAAAGGAATTATTCTGAACTAAAATAAAAATCTAACTATATATAATTAAACATATAATACAAAAAATCTGTACAATTTTAGAAATATATTTCTAGTTTTTAAAACTCTTTATTACCTATCAAAAAAAAATTCGCAACACAACCATGGCTTGAATAATGCAAAATATAAAATTTATAACTGTAAAGACAGTACCATAATCTATATTTAATATATCCATTTGGATACATATAAATATTAAAATAACAAAAACTAAAACGTAATATAATCACATAAAAACAAAAATATTCTATAAGTCATTAGAATATTACAATGTTTTAGTAATTGGAAGTTTTAAGTAGTTTATCTGTTCTAATATATCAATAGATACGGTTAATTTCTCTATATATGCATAACAATATTCACACATCGATAGACAATGCAATTTACGGTATTCAAGTTCCTTAATGACTGACCAATAAATTGGACCAAGAGACTTTACAGTAAAAGGATAATTATCTTAATGCCCTAAGCGTATTTTACTTTCATTAAAATTAGGAACAAAACCGTAAAAATGCCTCAGGTTACCCATCATTGGTATGTTCTCATTTTTAAATGCCAGTTAAGAACACACGAATATCTTTACGTATGTACTGTCTTGGAGTATCAAACTGAGATTCGTCCAGAAAAAAAGAAAACTATAAAACATATGTCTTAAATTTACGTGGGTATATTATGCAATATTGCAGAAGCAGAATTCAGAAGGCCTAACCGTTGCTTCTGCTTTCGTTGCTCCGTCATCTATTAGGAAGAAAGAAAATTATATGATATATATATATATATATATATATATTTAATATTTGATTGCTCCATCTCTTAGATATTT